ACCTTCCCCCTACCCTCATGGTATCGCTACTCCCATTATTGTTCCTGAGGGGTTTAATCTGTCCTGGATTCTGTGTGTCAGGAATTCTTATCTGTACCAGTGTACATGCTCTGGTCTAGCCGGATTTGTAAGGTAGGTCTGGGGTCATGGTAGGGGGGGAGGAAGCATTGAAGAACTAGAGGAATGTTGGATGTTTCATTGGTGTTGTCCTGCGCAATGGCGGGCTCATTCTCCCTTGTGACGGTTCTGTGAGGGGATGTCCAATTGTCTACAGATGGGCTTTTGGTCTCCACTCCAAACCCCCTTCATTTGCATCGATATGATTGCTTGTTTTGGGTCTTCTGATGCCAAATACCTGATCAAAGGTAAGGACGGTATAGGATGCCTAGTGGGGTTTGACCAAGTTCAATGTAGCTGAGAGGAATTACTAAGAGCTGAATGAAGGTTGGACAGGATAGTGGGATAGGAGGAAAATAAAAAGAAATAGAGGAAAGGATTAGGAGGAAAAAGACATTTATAGACGTATTAAATATAGGCATGTATATATGTAAGTATATTAATAAATAATGATAGGGATATAGGTCTCTGTACACATATTTATATGTTAAGTAACAAGGTAGCAGATGGACACTGGGCCTCAAATCAAGTCCACTCTCAATGCAAGAACACTTTGTTCTAACAACCTGGCATTCTGTGATGCTTATCTTCCCGACATGATCACGGAAGAAAAAAATGGGTACATAAGGAAATATGGTGAAGAAAGCTGATGATGCCTGGCTACTAGAAGATGGGGTCTTAAAGGCTTGAAGTTAAGTAAGCGGCCATTTAGCAGGGAAGCAACAAAGCCCACATACAGAACAAGCACACCAGCAAAAAAATGTTTCTTAAAAGTATTACAAAGCAAAAATGTTACTTTGAGGACTAAGGTCTGCCTGATACAAACCATAGTATTTCAAGCTGCTCATATACAGGTGGAAGCTGGACAATGATTACAGAACAACTCAAAATAATAGCAACAGTAGAATGGTGTTGGTGAAGAATATTGAAGACTATGATGGGCTGCCAAACGAATAAACAAATCTGTCTCAAAGAAAGTAGTCAGAATGATCATTAGAGGCGATGATGACTTTGAGAAGGATCCAGCCCAGAAGAAGGACATCAAGTTTGGGAAAGTAGAGGGTCAACGGAAAATGGGAAGTCCTTCCAGATGGTCGTTCAATGGATGTCACAGGGGCCCAAATACAGCAACAAGTCTGTAGATGGTGCAGGAGCAGGGAGTTATACTCATACATGTGGTCGGGAGTTCGCTGTAACTTGGAACTGACTCAGAGGCACCTAATGACAATAACATGACACCCTACTGAAGGCAGAAAATATCAATCTACCCTCCCTTCGCCATGCGCACACCTCCCACATTCTGAAACTGGAACCGGAAAATGGAAATTGTTTTTTTTAATCCCTAGAATTGATCATCTAAAGTGTTGTAACTGTATATCATTTTACTTATGATTATTTTGTAGATGTTTAAGTGTATCCGTTTGTAAGAGCAAAATGGGTGGAGCATGACAAGTTCATTTATTACCTTTAGCTGGATATCCTGGAGTAAGTGGGTCACCAGCGCCATTCAAATTTAACACATTCCCTCTCTGAACTCCAGTTCCAGGGAGATTCCATCCTTTGGGGTAGGGCTGTGCTCCAGGGGCAGAGTAGTCAGCCGGATCTGAGTACAAGATGATCCCAAGAGCTCCCGCCAACATGGCATTCTTAACCTGAGGGGGCGATCACTTTCACTCCATAAGTCAGAAACAGCAAATGATTAGAATATTCATGTAAGAAAATTTCATTTAGTATTTTAGAGAAATGCTCACATTGCTTTCGTATGCAAAGAGAACACATTAGGTTTCCCTTGCCTTGAATACAATTTCCCTCTGATGCCCCATTAGTTTGTTACAACTCTAGTTAAGGATCACCTGGCTTTTGAAACAGTCTTATTGCCAAGTGCAAAATGAATGTCTCCCTTCTTATTAATATATTCATTATAGGGTAAGTCATAGCATTTTAAAGTTTGTTTTTGTTTCTTTCATGTCAGAGGGGTTTTCTTTTGAGAACAGAGACCATGTTTTATTCACTTTTAGCCACCCACCCTCCCAAATCAGACACCTGATAGAGCAGACACAACACATGCTGATGGAACTAAACTAAATGAAAATTCTACACAAAAGAGTTCAGGCTAATGTGCAGAAATGGCCCACTCTGTGTTTGTAAACACAATTCTAACAGCAAAACTCTCCACCAGTGGAATCATATATGTTTTCCTATGAGATATTGAATACTGCGCATTACCAGGATGATTGTAGCAGGAGCCGCTAGCCGGTGTCCTACTGAAATCCTGCATCACTAGAACACATCGCAATAATCAGAACACAGTCTTTTAAAAGTAGCAGTATGATCTAGCTGTCAATTGATTTTGGAGGGCAAATTTGCAGTGTCTACACTCTCTGTGAAACCACACTCTATGAGTGAGAAATCCTACTTACAAGAATTCATACTACAAAAAAAAATCACACAAATATGCAATTCTGTAAGCGGAAGCACGGTAACAGATTGTGGGTGTAAACAATTTGAGATAAGCCAAATGTCCACCAACAACGGACTTACTGAATACATTGTTTATCAACAATTCACAATAATGTGAAACTATTCAAAATAATGGGGTGCCTATCTAATAAGCAGTTATCTAAAAATTAGCATATATCTAAGTATTTTAAAATATTCACTCATTTAATCCAACAATAATTCCATGTGATTGGTGCTATGATTAGATTCCCATTTTTATCTATAAAGAAACACTGGCACAGAAAAGAAATCAATTTCCCCACAGTCAGAAAAAACCAAGAGCCTAGGGAAATAAAGATTCAGCCAGCACCGAGTCAGCAGGGTTGCAGAGCCTTAGCCTCTTAGCCACTGCATTACCCAACTCTCAATACTCTGACCGGGAAGCATAGCAAGAATGACCATCAGTTACCGCTGAGTGAAAGAGGAAAGTTGTACAAGATATGCTGTAAGGTCCTTTCTTTGTAAAAAATAAATAATATACACAAAACAGGTAGACAAAGCAAACACATCTATATTTCCCGGAGTCAGTCTGGAAATGCCGAACACGATGATTATGACAAGGCGATAGTTAGGTAATGCAGATGAGCAAGTAATTGTTTCAGTTTGTAGACTTATACTTTAAAATAGGTAGTACTAATTAAATAAAAATGCCTAAAACTAATTTTCACTTCTAGATATATGAAGCATCATAAAAACATGATTTTCTATACAGAAAAACCATTACAAATGCAAGAACATTTTGAAAACCATGGTGCAAGCTGATTATTTGTATTTATAAGTAAATTCTAACTCCTCCCCTCTAGTAAAGCAAGTAACACATTACTTTATTTCCTCTGAAGATTTTCCCATATCTTGCAATCACAATCTTTCCAGTGCAGTTAATGTTCATGTCTCTTTGTAATTTGAAAAAATCTTTCGTACGAGCATAGTTGGCATATATAAGTTCTCCCTATAGAAGAAAAGAAGGGGGAAGGAGGAGGAAAACTAAGTAAATTTATGTCTTTATATACACACACACACACACACACACACCCACACGTGTGTGTGTATATATATATACACACACCATAGGACTGCTATCATTAAAGAGAGAGAAAAAAACCACAAAGCATTAACTTGTTCCATAATTCTGCAACAACAAAATTAGTTTTTCCTGATTCATGATGAATAACATGATTGTAATTTGGGAGGAGTCCTTAGAGAATTTTGCAACATCCTCCAAAATGTTTAAAAGAAAAAGACAATTTATAAAACACGTCTTAAATAGTGTGTCTGTTGTGAAAAATTCTAAATACAGTAATTTCTAACTATGGTATTTAAGAACTTTTGTGGCATAATCTATAAAATCACACACCAAACATATGAACAAAGGAAAAAGCTCGTAAAAACATCATTTGTCCTTCATGGATGCAAAACATGTTTAGCAATTTCTGTTTTCAAAAAATGACATCTCTTTCCTGGAGGCTTGAATGAAACATGCCCTTATTTTACCTCTGGTGAGCCTTGTGCTGAAAAAGCATTATATGGTGGTACAACATTTGTAACATTCTCATATCCATCTGGTGTCTGTTCATGGTATGACGTTTTGAAAATCTAGCAAGAATTGAAAGAGCGATTCCAGACTGTTATTAAAGAATAATTCAAACTTTATCATTATATAATCAAAGATCATTTTTCAGCCTCTTAGCTTGAGTCTACAGACCCTACCTCTATTCATAGGACATCCAGCTAACCACCCATATGGTAGACTTGGACCAATCCAGGTTTCATTTTCATCTCCTTAAGTAAGCAAGTCCTGCTAACAATGCCTCCTATGATCCCCAGAGCCCTTCCGCTTTCTCATACTGTTACCATCTGCTATGGATTGAATTATGTTCCCCCAAAATGTGTGTTGCATATACTAACTTCTGTGCCTATGACTTTAATGCCATTTGGGAATGAGTTGTCTTTGCTAAGGGAGGCAGTATTAGTGTAGGGTATATCTGAGTGAACCTTTTTTGAGATATAAAAGAAATTCAACAGGCTAGCAGAGCAGGAGAAAAATGAGACTTTCTACTCCCATAAAGAGGTACAGTCTCAGAAACCCATCGAAGCAGTTCTACTCTGACCTACAAGGTCTCTATGAGTCAGAATTGACTCAAGGACAGTACGTGAGAGCAGAGCAGACGTGGAGAAGGATTGATACCCTACATCTCCCAGGAAACAAAACAAAATGAAAACACAAGATCGTTCCTCCTAATCAACCCAGAGAGAAAGCTTTTTCCTAGAAGTGGGGCCCTGAATTTAGACTCCTAAGGAAAAATAAACTAAGGGAAAATAAATTTGTTTGTGCATGTCACCCATGTGTGTTGGTTCTGTTTTAGCAGCTCTAGAAGTTATCACTCACTAGAAAACAACATCTGAATTCAGAACATCACCATCTTTTACTTGGGCTATGGTATGAAGATACATCTTTGGCTCCCTGCCTAGTCTAAGTCGAATCTGCAGGGAGTCCAGTCTATCTAAAATGCCTCCTGAACCATTCCTCTCTGCTGTGTAGAATTTGCCAGTGTTTTTCATGGTTTGAAGCACACGTGTAAACCCATTAACCCCATTACCATGAAAGCAATTTTGATTCATAGTGAGCCTATAGGACAAAGTAGAGCTTCTGAGACTGTATTTCGTATTTTTTCTTTTTTTTTTTCAATCAACTCCATGTTACTGGCACATAATCCACATATCATACAATTGACTGTACGTTTTGACGGAAGCAGAGGGACTCATCTTTCTACTGTGGAGTGTTTGGTGGGTTTGAAGCCTTGACTTTGCAGATAGCAACCTAGTACTAAAATACTGAGCCCGCTGCTCCTTGTAACCCGACAGGGCTCTTGATAAACTACCATTGACATCATAAAAGGACTTTTATAATATATCCCAAAATACACCCATGGGTATTATCTCTCAATATGGTTCATTTTGTATTTGCATTCTACAAATTCAGAAAATCTTTTAGGATTCTTGATAATGCTAAACCACTCCATGTCTCTCAGGTTTTGCTAATGCTTTCTCTCCTGTCTAGAATTCTACTTTGCTTTGTCACCCTTGCATATCAACCCTTTCACTTGCGTATTGACTCTTAGGAAATATTCTCTGACTATAAAGGGCCACTCAAGCGGCTCTTTCCTGGGGAGAAAGAGAACCCTATTCATACCTGCAGGGTAAGTAACTTACACTTAACCAAATTTGAGTTTTGCCCTAGGTACCTTGGAGATAACCCTAAACCAGCAGGGGTCGAATGACCCTTTCACAGGGATTGCCTGATTCACAGCAATAGCACAATTATTTATAAAGTAGCAATAAAAATAATTTTATGGTTGGGGGGGTCAGCACCACATGAGGATCTGTATTAAAGGGTCACGACATTAGGAAGGTTGAGAACCGCTGCTCTAAACCTTCATAATTTAAATATGAAGCTGTCTGCTCCCTTAAG